GGGATCGTTATAACAGATGGGTCCTTGCAAGTCAGCAAAACGCTTTAGGGCCTTGTAAATGCGCGCGATTTCGAGCAAAGCAAACATATAGAAATTATAGTTTTCGCTGTTTGTTGACGTTTGTCAGCGTTTAAGAGTCCTTCTCACGAAAAAAGAATTTTCTTAAAAATTCGTAGTTTTTTTTCCTTCAAATTTTTTCAGGGCCACAATTGATTAACTAACTACCCGAATTCTGAATTTCATGGTCATTGAAAAACTGTGACGTTATCTTCTATAAGCCCAAACTTGAGTAAACATTGATGATTTTTAGCGTTTTGGCTGAGGTTGTGCTTTGGGAGTTGTCTATTGTTTCTAGTCTGTCATGATACAGCATTCTTGTTCAGCACGCGTGCAATGACCACGCTTGGCTGACTTCCGAATGCTCACCGAGATATGATAATTTTGGTACAGTGAGACAGGCCATCGCGTGATACATAGAGGTTTAACTCACATTTTTTAATCAATTCTCGTGCCTTTGCAAAAAAATCAAGTGCTACACACTAAATCTACTTACTATTAAAAAAATATCATTTTTTCATAGGTTTAATGCAAGCCAATAATTAAACCAACTCGTGACGGGAATCCCTTCTATTTTCTCCTACTAAATTATCATATCCGAAAAGGCCTTTCTTTCAAATTTGGAATTTCGCGGGGAAGGATAATTACCAATAGGATAAGCGTGGTTCAACAAAACAATTCCAAATAGTGGAATTAATATCGCTTCGATTACACTTACCGAAACTGTGACCATGTTTCCATTTTAAACCAAGCTTTCAGGTTTTCATAGGTCACACGTTCATCTCCACCTCGCTTTTTCCTAATCCATGTTGCTCAATTTCTATGGACACTGGTAAACGCTTCTAACTACTTCTATCTACTTAACGTTACCCTAACTACGAAATTGACTCCTTACTAAAGGTTGAGGGGAGCGTATCCCGTTTCCCTTATTTTCAGTTGCAATAGCTCACTTCGGAAAAGAGTGATAGCCTGGGACCCAAACTAAGCGCGCGCTCATTTATGGGATTGTTTGGGGGAACAAGTCAAGCCGCCACCTTGAATTATGACGAGACAGGTAAGTTGTTGTGTTTTCTGCGCCCAAATAACTTCAGGAACTTCCCGGTCCGCGAGTCCTTCACTTTGTACGAACTGCGTTTTGTTTCTGGTTGTTTTAGCTCCACGGCAAGGAAGCCATCTCTGAAGCTGTTTCACGAAACATTCTTTTGGTTTTTCTCGAGGTAAAATTGCCCCAGACGCATCTTCTTCCTTCAGCTTCACATTTTCATGTTTTTTTTCTTTCAATTCCACCTTCCGTCACGTTTGCTCTTTTGAGCTGTTTTAACCCCGCTGAAACATTCCATTTCGCTTTCCGCTTGTTTGTTTACATTCGCTTCCCCCCATATTAAATCCGGCCCATAAATGCGGCGCGCCTAGTTTGGGTCCCAGGCTATTACTCTTTTCCGAAGTGAGTTATACTATGTAATAACGGTAATAGGCCATTCCAACTTGCCTCAAACCTTAGTTTGAAAGCGAGGTTTAGTGTAAAACCATTGATATGAAAATGATTGTATATTCTCCTGCAAATAAAACTCATTTTCACAAGAAGGGTGCGTTTTTAAAGTGACTGAGTTATTGGGAGAGCATTCAAGTCCCACCGATGTGGCCTGGGTTATTCGAATCCAAGGCGATACATTTGTGGGCTGAGTTTGTTGTTAGTTCTCACCCTTGCT